TTTAGACAATATCCTATGAAAAAGCAATGAGGAACACAACCCCAGGAAGCCCAGCAGGATGAATCTATCGGGCATGACAAGAAATTAAATGCAAAGGGGGAGAATCCAACAAAAAGAAAAAGTCATGACAATGTTAACATATATTATATATATATATATATGTATCAGTTATATCCATCAATGTTAATGGTCTCAATTCACCAGTCAACAGAAATAGAGTGGTAGAATGGGTCAAGAAGAGAGATCCAACAATATGCTGCACATAAGAAACACACTTAATTCAAAATGAAACTCATAGACTGAAAGTTAAAGGATGAAAAACAATACTGCATGCAACAGGAACCCCCCCAAAAAGCAGGAGTAGCTGTCCTCTTTGCAGATCAAGTGGAGTTCAAACCAACACTGATTAAAAGAGACAAGGACACTACATCCTTGTAAAGGGAACAATCCAAGAGGAAGAGATGACAATCATAAACATATATGCACCAAACACTAGTGCACCCAAGTATATAAAACAAATACTAACAGACATGAAAAATCAAATAAGCACTAATACAATAAGAGTGGGAGATCTCAATATCCCACTGTCACAAATAGATAGATGAACTACATGAAAAATAAACAACAAAATACTAGAACTTAATCAAACTCTTGAACAAATGAACTTAACAGATGTTTACAATGTTCTACCCCCCAAAATCAGAATACACATTCTTTCCAGCTGGACAGGGGTCATTCTCCAAAATAGACCACATACTCACTCAAAGAACATGTTTAAATAAGTGCAAAGGAATTGAAGTTATCCCCTGTATATTATCAGACCATAGCGCGATGAAATTGGAGGTCAATAGCAAAAGAAACTGCAAGAATTTCATAAACACATGGAAATTGAACAACAAACTTCTGAATAATCAATGGGTCACAGAGGAAATGAAAAAAGAAATCAAACAGTTCCTTCAATTAAATGACAATGACAATACAACATATCAGAATCGATGAGACACAATGAAAGCAGTCTTATGGGGGAAATTTATAGCAGTGAATACTCATATTAGGAAAACAGAACGAGCCCAATTAAACAACCTGATGCTGAACCTCAAGCTTCTAGAAAA